GTTTCAAATTAGCGTTGGAGTTTTTTAAGCCGTTTAAAACACTCGAGATCGTGTTTTAAACTATACTTATWATATCATTAATAATTCATAAGTTACACAGCCACTCAGTGACCGCCATTGTAGTCACATGACTACACTTATATTTATTGTCCTTTCCTCCATGCTCCGAGATTCTTTCATCTAATCTTCTGGCCGTTTCACCAATGTAGGTATGTAGGCATCGTTCTTGTGGGCACTCAAGCTTGTACACTACATTGTTTTGGTGTTTGATGTTAATTTTGTCTTTTACATTGAAACGCGATGCTAGTTTATCAGCCTTAAAAGAGACACTAGGTTTTACATTTTGTGGCAGAAACTTATTAGAGGYACGCTTTAATTTCTGAACTAATCTAACACCTTTGTCGCCTCTGTACGGCAATGTCATAAACACGGAGGTTAAGTCATTATCCTGTCCGTTCTATTGTGCGATAGCTTGACCTTGTTTGTTTTTAACTTCATTGATGATGTTGTCAATAACCCAGTTAGGATAACCATTTATTTCATGGAATGTTTTTCGCAAGTGATGTAGTTCTTGTTTCAATAGATCTTCATTAGAGCAGATATTATAGGCTCTCTTTACTAAACCTCTAAGTGTGCTTCTCTTCCAGGTCTTCGGTGCATCGGCTTGCCAGTGGATGTATAGATCGGTGTTTGTTTTCTTGCGATACACTGTGGTCTCAAAGCGGCCATTATTCCACGTAATGGTTGTGTCTAGGAAATTAATAGAGAGCGTTGAAAAAGGCCATTGGCGTTTTTTTACACCGTTTGAATTGTATACTTGCCTATTAGAAGCTGGGAACCTGGTCAACCAACGCCCTATCGGAAGAGTGCCAATATCTATGCCCTAATGATATGCTGCTGGGTCGTTCATCAACTGAAGTACCTCAGGGTCCATTCAAAGACACGCGTAAYCCAAGGCAAAGAGTAGAATTTGTGCAACAGATAGTCGACTCATTTTGGAAACAATGGAAGCGAGATGTGTTTCCTGCACTTATCCCAAGAAAAGAGTGGTGCCATGAAAGACGCAACRTGCAAATCAACGACATTGTCACAGTTTACGATGACAACGCCCTTCGAGGAAAGTGGTGCGTTGGACGAGTAATAGAGGTGTACCCTGGAGCAGATGTTGCGGTGATTCACCCGAAAGACGAGGATGAATAAAGATGCCCTTATTGGGGCGGAGGATGTTTCTGCCGGAAATCAGGACATACTGTATATAACTTTGAACTTTACAAACAGTAATTACAGTGATTTGATTGACATCGACGTTTATCTGATTAGTAGTTTAGAATAGTAATGTAGTATCAGTATAGAGTGAATGACGCAGGTTTCGCCCGGTTACAGAAGTTTTATCAGTTATTCAGTGCTAACCAGTTTTCAGTGCTAACCAGATCATTTACAAGACTGGATACCCGCCACAAAGTAAGAACATTGATCTTATGACTGTATCGTTACTATTGTAAGAGTTATATGTAACTATTTTGTATGCATGCCTTTAGATCAAAAAAACAAAACCAAATCAAATATACGATTTGTGGCACACCCATGTTTTTCAAAGAAACAGTAGGCGTCGAGCAGAAGTTTTAGTATAGGTGGGCGTACGATAACGTACTTTGTTTACACCCAAAATATAAAATTCAAAAAATAAGTAATCTGAACTCATATATTTCAAAATTATACTACTCTCACCAAAACCTGAAAATGTTAGGGCAAACGCCTTTTTACATTTCGAGTTATCAGCATTTCAAAACTAGAAAATCTATAGAAAATATTCAGTGGTTGGCAAAATAATGCCAACCACGGTCATTTCTTTAGAAAATCTTGCAAATTTGGCGCTTGATATCTCTTGAAATATTTTACCAATTCCCTTCAAATTTGCAGGAATTGTTAACAGCTATGAGTTCTTTTCATTTATGGGCTTGATTTTCTTGTGTCTTGAAATTCGATTCCTGAATTTTATGCAAATTAGCTAAAACGTAAACATTGGCGCCCACCTATTCTATCATCATTGTTGAATAGTGCTATATCGTCAGCGTACTTGTCTTTTGATTTTAGACGTCGCAGATCGAATAAATCACATTATTTGGCTTAGATAGTACGCGCGCTCTGCTTGGCTGATTGGCTTCCGTGAGAGGGCCGTAATTAATTTCACTGTAACGACCACGGGCATTATATTGTATTAGCCGTTTATTTGATGCAAACACTGTAAATCCCTGTAAATATTTTTTTCGTTATCTTTTTAAATAATCTTAATATTTTTTTTCTTTATCTTTTTAAATAATC